TTTGCTCAATGATGTTGCACATGCTAAGGTGCAAAAAAAAAAAAAAAAGAAAAAAAAAGAAAAGAAATCTGAATTCATTCTCCAAATGGAGCTGGTTAAGACTCTTTTTGGCCCGAAAATCAACAGAACTTGTGTTGCCAATCAGTAAGTACTAAACTGCATGGCACGTGGTTAGATTCAATGGAAAAAATTGAGCTAAATCATGTTTGGCTTAATTTGATTATAGAAAAAGCAACAGCCAATGGGGTTCATGCTGAACAGATCATATAATGGCTTAATGCAGGGGTCTTCAAACTTGGCCCTTTTATGACTTGTGGACTTCAACTCCCAGAAATCCTCAGCCAGGTTGAGGAATTCTGGGAGTTGAAGTCCATAAGTCATAAAAGGGCCAAGTTTGAAGACCCCTGGCTTAATGTAAGGCGTAAGTCCGATTACAATGTCCTATGTTGGAAAACTACCTGTTTATAGGCTGTGATTACAGATAGTCCTCAATTTACAACCACAACTGGGATTGGAAATTCTGTTGCTAAGCAAAGCAGTCAAAGCAGTGAGTTATTTTGCAACCATTGTTAAACAAATCTCCATGGTCGTTAAGCGTTAAGCAAATCCACTTCCCCCATTAACATAGCTTGTTGGAAGCCAGCTGGGAAGGTCACAAATGCATCACTTAAAGCCAGGAAGCTGCAACCATCCTAAATGCATGCCAAGCACTCGAATTTTGATCACATGATTGGCAGGACGCTACAACAGTTGTGTTGGGATGTAAGTCACTTTTTTCAGTGCCATTATAACTTTGAATGTTTGCTAAATCAATGGTTATAAGTTGACGACTATCTGTATATGAGCCAAGGTGGTGCAGCAGTTAGAGTGCAGTACTGCAGGCCACTTTAGCTGACTGTGTTCAGCAGGTCAGCGGTTCAAATCTCACCGGCTCAAGGTTGACTCAGCCTTCCATCCTTCCGGGGTAGGTAAAATGAGGACCCAGATTGTTGGGGGCAATGTAAATATATATATATATACATTGCTTACTGGTGTACACCGCTTAGAGAGTGCTTGCACTTAAAGCGGTATATAAGTCTCATAAATAAATAAATAAATATGCACAAACATGCATGGGTACAATCACATAGATTGATCTGTGAGGGGAGAGAATCAGATGTTGATATGACTATGAAATCAAAGTCTTACATCTTTTTTAAACGTATCATGACTGCCATCTTGACTTTTCTGTCTCATTATCCAAAAATGACTTTGGTTAACCAAAAAAAAAAAAAAAAAAAAAATCCTTTGCTCTTTGACATTAGCATGTTGCTTGAGACACATGAAAAAGTTGAGGAGGGTAAAAATGAAAGACATTGCAAAAGAAAAAAAATATTCAATTTTACCTGCCTTGCCACATACCTGCTCCAGAACTTCCAGGCACCAAGAAAACCAGAATGCCTAAAATGTGAAGAACTTTCGGTGCAGAATCAGACAAGCCATTGAAATGCAGATCCTGTCTGTCCATGCTGCATTGTTTTCAGCAGAATACGTATATCCCTTTACAGAATCCAAGACTAGTGCAACGGAATGAAGCAATCAAATTTCTAGGCTTATGTCCCCAATTCAGGCCACCAAGAGATACCTTCAACAATGTGCATTTGCCTGTGATTGTATTCATCAATATATTTCACAAGGCCAAGTCAGGGTCTATCAAATGCATTCGTATAATATGCTAAGCCGAGATAGTGTTTTGTTGGCTAGATTTGGGGGGAGGGTTAGTATGTTATACAAAGGGATTTAGCAGGTGATGGGACCTAGCAAACCTTAGTTGATTTAGAAAGCTAACCAGGGTTGGTCTGGTTAATATTTGAATGGCGAATCATCTTGAACAATAAGGCCATTGTAGCATTTGAAGACAACTTTATCATTTTTGATCAAGCCATTTTTTTAATTTAGTTTATGATATGGTGTCTTGTAGAAACCCAGCAAATCATTAATTGATGTAAGTATGCTGCATGAACACAGCCACTGGGACCCTCCTTATGTGGTGCTGAGCAAGCAAGTTGGGTGGGAATCCTCTAAAACAGCATATAGGCCAATGCAGATATACAACTCTTGGTTCTCCAACATGGAAGAGTATCAGAACTTTTGAATTTGCTTGGGTATCTGGTGCAGAAGGTTTTCAGATGACATTTCCACTTTAAACAAAATGTCAAATTGACAGCAAAGGTTCCAGTTCTCATGACAGTTGCAGGGTCTTCTTTGAAGGCTGATTAGTCTGAAACTGGCTCCAATTTTCAGGACTACTTACTGAATAAGGGATCTTCTATGTAGGAGCTCATGAAGCATATAAACACAAGAAGAACCTAGATCAGGCCAGCAGCCATGTAATGCTCACAGCATAGGCAAGGAAAGTGATAGCATACCTTACATAAGGGTAGATATCTGTGATTCAGGAAGCAGTAAACAATCATCAATCCTAGTTGCTACTAATAATTCCCAAAATGAATTGGCTTACATAATCGTACCTCATCAGCTGGGCTTTCAGAAACTGGGAGAAGATCATGGCATCATGTCTGAGTAACATTTTCAAAATGGGTTTTCTAATTTATAGGAATATCTGTCTATAGCTAATATCCCCTAACTTAATTTCCTTTCTTCCTTAAGATCTAGGCCAAGAGCCTTATTTGATAAGATCAAGTTCTGAAATCAAGACAAGAAACAAAGGATGGAAACTAATCAAGGAGGGAATCAACCTTCAATTAAAACAAAATTTCCTGGCAGTGAGAACAATTAATCAGTGGAACGGTTTGTCTCCAGAAGTTATGGATGCTCTAGCACTAGAACAGTGGTTCTCAACCTTGCTAATGCCACGGCCCCATAATACAGTTCCCCATGTTGTGGTGACCCCCAACCACTTATACATCACCGGGTGCCAGGGCATGGCCAAAGAAAAGGGGAAAAAAATGGCGGACAGCCTTGTTTGGCGACCCCCGTGAAATGGTCGTTTGACCCCAAATGGGGTCCTGACCCACAGGTTGAGAACCACTGCACTAGAAGTTTTTAAGAAGAGACTGGACAGCCATTTGTCTGAAACGGTATAGGGTTTCCTGCCTGAGCAGGGGGTTGGACTAGATGACCTCCAAGGTCCCTTCCAAATCTGTTATTCTGTTAAAATGGATTGCTACTTCCTTCATTTCACTTTCATGCATATGCCTCAGAGGGGAAAATGTTATGCAAGACATGAAAGTGACAACTCCTATAGGTATTCATTATTAGCACCCAATGTTTTGAGGAGACTGCTCTAATCCAGGAATATACTTGACTCATATTGTGTAAGATCCTGCTAATCTGAATCGAATGTCTCCTGCTCAGCATCATATCTAATACTGGGCAGCCAATTACCCCTGTGCAAAATGTTTCACTGGCCGTTTCCAAACATGGAAGCTCCATTTCACCAGTACAATTAACACAGGCCTCTTCTCTTCATTTCCCAAGTCCAACCCAGTTTTAAAGCTGTCTAAGCAAACTATCATCATCATAGCTTATGGCAACGTAAAGGAAAGCAGAACAGGCCAATGTCGAGCTATTCAATCTTTTCAATATCAATCACTGGTTTCCCAGGACATCCAATGCGATGTTATCCAGCAGGATCCTTTGGCCTGGCCTTATCTGGCCATGCAATGCCTGACATAGTGTGCTCAAGCTGCAAATGCTTTCATGTTAAATCAAATGCTTCCCAGTTATTGAATATTTAAAGTGGTCTGTCTGGCTACATACACACACACACACACACACACACACACACACATGGACACCACCTTTTTGCTCTAACTAATGGGCAATTGTAATCATGGGCAGTAGAATGTTTAAGAAAAATTTGTTAAACTAGCAGGAATAGCTGAGCGCAGCTTGGCCAGGGTAAGTTACTCTCCTTCTGATGAAACAAACAGTAGTGATGTACCCTTCCCCCCACTGTCTTGATCTGAAAAAGCAACCCCTAATGCTGCATTGCATACAAGAGGCTGAGCCTCAGGAAAGCTGATAAATATGTTCACCACAAGATTTTTTACCGTACTACCATAGGCTCTTTTTCAGCTACAATGTAGATCCTTTAACAGAGACTACAGAGAGCAATCTTCTTTCCCTTCTACATTCTTGATAAAATTTGGAATTAAATAGCTGGGCAATTGAGGGTGCATCTTCAAAGGAGAAGTTCACAAAGTGCTGATCCCCAATACTAGATCGGGCATCTGGGAGGGGAGAAATGAAGAAAAAGACCTCTCTAGTCAATATTATAAAGCTGATCTTGCTGACATATTTGCTTCTCCTCCACAGCAAAACCAGAAGTGGCACAGAAGAGACTTTGGAAAAGCATTGTGGAAGGGTTGGGGTTTTTTTTTGGCCTGGAGGGAAAGAGCTGATATTACAAAATGCCCCCTCTTCCCCCCCCCCCAGACCAATCCATCTCGTGCAAGAAAGGCCCACACGAATGAGGAGCAGCAGTTGAGCCGGAACTGGCTCCCTTTGCAACCTGCGATGCTGCTTCCCTCATTCCCATCCCCTTCGCTCTCTCTCTTTCCAGAGCCTCCTGTTTACCATCTGCATCACCGAGAAACCTCCTTTGACGAGGCCACGACTTAATGCCCATCTCCCGTTTCATTCCGTGCCATCTATTTTTTTTTTTAATGCAAAACATCTTTCCCTTTGGAAAATCGGCAACGTCCCTCCCACCCCAATATATACTTTGATTTAAAAACACTCTCCCCCCCTATAAACCAGCATCCCTCCCCATCTATTTTCTGCACCCCTCCCCCACTTCTCATACATGTGTCAAATGAAGGTTAACAACCTGCCCCCCCCCTCCCCGCCGCCACCGCGCCACCCTGTTTCAAAGCAATGCCACCGTCGGAGCCAACCGAATGAAAAGAGGCAATACAGATCAAGTGTCATCTATCTAGGTTAGAAAAAGATTAAAAAAAAATGAGGTGGGGGGATTGCACCGGGCGCGCACTTACCCCGTGAACGCGCTTCTGGTCTCCTAGCTAATGCAGCAGCGGCGGCAGTGGCGCGAGGGAACAGCACCGGCCTGCAGCTCCCTGGCCAACGTCACCAGCGCTCCGAAGGGGGCGGGGATATGCAGATAAGAGGGTAACGTGACTTCGCGAAGGGCCGTCCTCCTTTTCCCGGTTTTCTTGCGGGCGGGCCCGAGGCGTTGTCGTCTTGGGGATTGTCGACACGTCGGTGATTGATTAGGCTGTAATCCTTTACCTCACGGAGGGATTTACTTCTGAGTAAGCCTGCGTGGCTAAATCCTTTGCGATTTCCTTTCCCCCCCTCTCTTTTCTCTCTCACCGAAATATATCCCTCCTTTATTTTACCTTTTTCCCTTAGAAGGGGCTACCTACATGCTTATTTTTTTATTTACTTATTTATATTTTCCCTTGCGAGAAAGGAAAAATTAACTATGTATTATCTGCCCTCAGTGAAATATGTTGTACACGAGAGGTATATATAATTCCTGGGAATACAATAAAACATGAGGAAGTTCCTGATATTATTACCTCACCTCATCATCTCAAAAACATGACCCAGATCCCCAAAACACACAAAAATTCTAGTGAGCAGCTGGTTGTGTAAAACAAGACACGAATATTTGCTGCCCTATTTGCTGCCATAGCTTGTTTCATAAGTTTTGAATATATTAATAATTGTGAATTTTCGGGAACAAAAAACAGCAATTTGTTATTAATATGTGCAGGAAGTCCTTACAACCATTTGTTTAGTGACTGTTTGAAGTTACGGCACTGAAAAATGTGACTTATGACCTGTCTTCTCTTTTATGATTGTTGCAGCATCCTATGATCACATGATCAAAATTTGGATGCTTGGCAACTGGTTCATATTTATGGCGGTTGCGGTGTCCCGAGGTCATGTGATCACCTTTTGCAACTTTCTGACAAGCAAAGTCAGTGGGAAAGCCAGATTCACTTAACAACGGTGGCAAGAAAGGTCATAAAATGGAGCAAAACTCATTTAACAAATGTCTCACTTAATAACAGAAATTTTGGGCTCAATTGTGGCTTTAAGCCAAGGACTTCCTGCATTAATTTTATATAATTATTATGGATTATTCAGTAGCTTTGTGTATAATAAGTGTATAAAGTATTATTACAACTGAGATTTTTAAGTGAAAGATAAAAGCAAGCTTGCATATATCTGCTTATTACAATGTTTGCAAAAGGTGGAACAATATTCAGCAATAGAATAAGAAAATAACTTCAGTATGAGTTGTATAGATTTCATAGGCACTAGCTGTAAAACAAGGTTGGGATTTACCTCAAGCTGACTGCAAGGAAGGGCTGGGGATCATAAAAATGTAGGAGTTAGCCATTTCTCTTTTTTATTGCATTTTAGCCCTTGGAAGGTGTGCTATTTAATCTGAAGGGAAAACATTTTAGACTGCTTCCTGATATTAGGTTTTTGTCTGCTACATTAGAAGGCTTAATAAATGTCCACATTTTCTATCAAAGGACTACAGTCAATAATGACAGCCCAAATTCCAGAATATAATACCATTTTAAAATTTACTAGACATACAGTATGTGGCCTTTAAGACAGGATAAACATAATCAGGAGGTCCTTTTGAAAATCAGTGCTGATAACGCTTCAGTCATAAGCAATGATTCTCCATTGGATATCAGTGATAGAATTATTAAGATTTAAAGCTATTACAACAGGACTGCATTACACTATCATGATTACAGTAGCCACTAGATAGTAGCAAGGAGTTTCCTGTATCTTTTTATTGTTATTCGCTGATCACCCAAATTTCTATACTCCAGAACTGGCACCTCTGCTGTGGTTTATTCACATGTTTTATAGATGGATCAAGAAAACCTCTCTAATGTAATTCTGTTAGGTTTTCTCTGTCATTTCTATCCTTTTCTTACTACTGAAATGATAGTGAAATTACACTTAGATGAGTATTATATCATATAACTCTGTAACATTATGGGGTATTTTCCATTTATTGTCATTTCAGCAATATGCGTGTATCTGTCCTTTCAAATCAGTGTTGATTGCTGGTGATTACTGGGCACTTAACCACTACATCAATCTACACCAATTAAATTTTAGCAATAGGGCCAGGATTATAGTGGCCATAAAAGTGTTTGAGTCATTATCATTATTGGAGACCAAAGTATGAAATGAGAGAACCAGTTAGGTCTAAGGACTGGGAGAGATTTATCTAGTCTGAACATTTATATAAACCTACACCAGTTGAATGTGTGTGCAAATTATATGGTTTTTTTTTGTCTGAATTAGTGATGTAATTCACTACTCAAAAATATGCATAAAATATTTATATTACAAAAAGTGCACACTAAAACACATGTTAATGAAAAGGGCATAGACAAATGTGTTTTATTATGGAGAAATTAGTTACTAACACGCTCACAGTAACAAATGTGTATAAAATGCATATATCGTAGTATGAGAAAAGTATTTGAAAATGCTAGCAAGTTTTTCTACTGTTGTGAAAATGGGCCAAAACAGTCATGGCCAGGAAAGCGAGAAAAAACAAACCAATAGCAATAGCACTTAGACTTATATACCATCCCATAGTGCTTTACAGCACTCTGTCTGCAGTTTACAATATAAGCATATTGCCCCCAACAGTCTGGGTCCTCATTTTACCAATCTTGGAAGGATGGAAGGCTGAGTCAATCTTGAGCCCCATCAGGATCAAACTCCAGACTGGGCAGAGTTAATCGGCAATACTGCATTCTAACCACTACACCACCAGGGCTCCTAACAAAACCCACACCATCCATGTTGTTTGGTATCTGTAGTATTATTTCTCCAGTAAGATACTGTAACTGACAATCTTTCCATTAATTAACTTACAAAAAGTGTTTTAAGCATCTAGATACAGAAGACTAACATCAGAATTTCCTTTCTATCATGTTGTATTATGTTGTGTTATGAGGAATATCATTAGAAAACTTTTAAGTGTTATCTTGCTAGGATTTTAATTCATTACTCTGCAAAATTCCATAACTATGTCCTGAGCTTTAATAGATTTAGCTCATCTGCTTGTAAATCACCATCCATAAGAAAACCGAACTATCCCTAACTCAGTGGGATGGCTGGATCATGGTGAGAGATACATACAGGAAGTGTACAATATCTCCTAAGAATATAAACTACAAGTTTACTTGTAAACTTATTTACAACAGAAGACTGAGAGTGATATGTGTGAATGCAGGGCCAAGGACTGTGTGTGACCATTAGATGGCAACATAACATCACTTTTAAACTTCTAAATGTTGCTAAAGTGAATCTTTTCTGAGACTGATATAACTTTAAAAAAAAGAAAGAGTGGAAACATCTCAAACATACTTGCCTGTATAATTCCCAAGCTAGTCATGGGGCACACAGACTGCAGTCTTGGCAAAATATAGGAAACAAGGAAGAAATCCCCCTTAATTGTTATATGCTGAAAGACATTCTGAAAGCTCAAATGCATTCCAAAACTGAATCATCACTAAAGTGATTGTAAATCCACTATTATGACTCTGGCTTTTCGCATTCTTTCCTTTTCTTTCACTTACATAATATGTGTTTAAGGAAAAATATAGCAGAAAAATGTTTTGTACAGTTTTTGAGTGCATCTGTGGGTCGAAATAGCACTCCGTCACTGGAGGTTTTTAAGAAGAGACTGGACAGTCACTTGTCTGAGATGGTATAGGTTCTCCTGCTTGAGCAGGGGCTGGACTAGAAGACCTCCAACGTCCCTTCCAATTCTATTCTATTCTAGCAATCCCCAGGTAACCTCATGGTGTGTTTGTAGGCATTGCTAAATCTTATTTAATCTTAATATCTTCCAAAATCCAATATCAAAGTTTTGATTTGAGTTTTGCTTGGCCATTTGATTATATAGTACTGTACTTTCTTATAATTTCACCATGTAATCTGTGAAAGAAACAAATGGAATCTGAAAGTAAATGTAGTTGGTGGATCACTGTCATAATAAGTCCCCAAGAAGGCAAAAGTATTTTGTGAAACTAGGCAGATGTGCATGTACGATGTGTGTGTATAAATTAAGAGCACTGAGGGACATACAAGAGACAGGCAAACACAGATGAGAGATAATCTTTATGCTTTGGGATTAAATATTTACATTATTTGGGAGTTAGGCTTGTCAGTGATGGATTTGCTGGGAATAAAAAAGGACCTGGCTTGTGGGAAATAAGCAGTCATTATTGTTTTTCCAGAATTTCACTCATTTTTGCATCAGTTACTGTGGAAATTTCACATACAATACCACTCAATCCACTACCCTTTCAAAATAATTATATTAGATATTAGAAAGTGTTGTTTGCAAGGAGAGCATTACATCCTTTGCAGTTCTAATAGTTGATCCTAATTTTCCTCAGTCAGTTGGCCTAAGTCCTGACAGTTCTCTGACCTTTTTGCTTTTTTTGCCTAAAACTTTGATCAAGCATCACCATATAATCTCCCTCCCTCCCTCCCTCCCTCCCTCCTCTAATTTCTTTGCTCAATTTACTTTTCTATTTTGGATTAACTTCATTCTCATCTCCATCCACAATTTCTACATTCTAAACTCCAGTTGGTAGTATCTCTTCTCTCATATAGTTACCATTCTACTAACAAATGCTGTGTTACTATGATCTCTTTAGGACTGAAGTGTTTTTTTCAAGCTCTGGAGATTTATAGTACAATTTAAAAAAGCCAAACATTTCATTTTAACACTTAAATACAATGTAAAGAAAAGGTGTTGCCAGAAAACAATGTTGCAAGGAAAACCAGACAATCAGATAAAAATGCCAATATGTTCTCTGTGGTTATGACAATACACAATACACAAAGAAACAGTAACTTAGTCTGTAGGGCCAGGCCCCAGTGGCAGCTCAGCAAACTCAAAGTGCATTGTGAAATACATGTGTATACAAACAAACATTCAACATATACATATATACATTTGCACACACATAATGCAGCATTTTTGAGTGCAAATCACAATTAAACCAATTGCTATCAATAAAATTTGCCTGAACCAACCATTGGTGAGGTTATTACACATTAAAATATTATTAAGCATAAAGCTACAAAAGTTATTTTAAAAAAAGAACAAAAAATACTTGCTGAAAATAAATTAAAAGTGGTAGCCTTCCCAGTAGTAATGCATAACTGGCCTTTCATAAGAGGTACAGTATATGGAAAGAAAATGATGAGACACAATATCATTTTGGTGCATAGAATCATCCTCATTTGCACCCTCCCTGGATTTCTAATACGTAAATACAGTAGATGGAGGTACTGCACTAGCTTTATAATCAATCAGCAGTTTAAGCTTCTCAAATCATAAGTTGGCCTCGCCAAAATTTTACAAATGAATCTTTAAATCTCATTCTTCTATTCATAACTTTTATCTGCTACTTACATTGGCTAATGATTCCCCAATTTCAACGGACCCTGTCTCTTTTTGAGGCTCCATAGAACTGCATTATTTACCCAAAGCAGTAAGTGCATCTCTTCAAATCAGTAGATTAAGCCTTCTAGGGGGGGGGGGGAAATCAATGGACAGAATACTATCTAGTTACAAGTCTTCTCTGGGATAGGACAGACTCGTTAATGCATAGGGATGTAGAATAAGAGGGACAGAATGATCTCTAATTTGATTGAAATCAAGAAATGTTTAGCAGCAAATTCAGTGTTGTAACAATCCTCTTTTGTGAGCTGTGAAATACATGGAGTGAAGATACAGATAACCCAGAAAGAACAAAATAATAGATTTCTTTGAATACTGAAAACAGGCGGGAAATGTGTAAATCCACAATTTTTTCACAATTCCACATAAATTGCTTCTCCCCTAATGTCACAAAACCAACTTATTAAAATAAAACAATTGTTTTTGTATTTAGAAAACAAAGTTAAAATGCCTTTTAAAAATAATAGGTCTTTTTCTTCTGCAAAACGTTAATGATCAAAAGATCCAAAATAAGTAGTGTACATATCACACAAAACTTTTATGAGTAGTCTAATATGAACACATCACTTTGAATAGCTTCTCCCATTCTTTTTAGGAGAAAGGGACAATGAAGCCCCATACTCCCAAAGCCCCAAGAAAGTGGGGCATTGATTTCAAAGGAAAAAGTTAAAGTGATTAAAATGTCAAAAGAGTCAAATTATCAACTTCAGGTCCTCCCCCCCCCCATTAATTTGAAAATTAGAAAGATTTCCAATTACTCTTGTATGGCAAGCAGTTCTGCCAGTTACTATAGTCAATTTATATTAGAAATTGCTGGGAAGATTAATTACATATTTTTTAAAATATTGACTACCTATTTCTGCATCAAAATACTTTCCTCTTTTTTAAAAAGAAAACATGAATAATTTACTCTTTACAGCTGCTATGGAGAAATACATGTTACAAAATAAACAATTTTAAACAATAGGGTTTTCCCTTCTTACTGGAAAAATTAAAACAAAATCTCTGAATATTGGAGAAATGGGCTTATCACTTTCTATAAATATTTTCATATGGGAGAAAAGGTATTGTAGGAGATTAAGATAAAAGAAGCTATTTTCAATGCATCTACCAGAATGAGGTAACATGCAGTCAGAAGGAAGGCCTTATTTGAGTATCAGGAATTTGATGCCAAGTGCATCCAGCAGGATGAATTTTGTATTTCTTGATAGCATTCTATCACACTGTAATTTACAGAAACTGCCTCCTACTTGAATATTTTATGTGAAACTTCCCAGGATGCTGGTTTTATTACACTTGAGAAAAGCAAATATAATATTTATCTGCACCATTCCCCTTTCTGCAGTAGCATGTCTTTTTAAGATTCTCTTTTTGCTGGGTCAAATCATTGGTCCATCAAACCCACTACATTATTCTGATTTTCAGCAGGATCATACAGAACCTTTCCTCAAATGAAAGTTGCATGCTTGGAAAGTGTAGGACTAAAAAAGTCTGACCATTTGTCCAACCAACCCGGAACTGTCTGCTATAACTTGAAAAAGCTTTCCAGGATCACAGTCAGAAAAAACTTTTTTCCAGCCTAGAACCTCTAAAAAAAGAAGACTAAAGATGTCAGAGATTGAACCTGTGTCCATCTTCAGGCAAAATATTTGTTTTTACACTGAACTAAGAGCTGTATTTCCACCTGGGCTTTCTTAAAACAAGATACAGACTATTTCCAAGTTGAAACCAAAATAAGAAATTAGTGATAGTGACAAGTCCAGCAGGAAGAATTTTTCCATTTGCCAGGTACAACTCAGATGCTGAGTAGCAACACTGGAAGGAAGACATGACAGGCATTGTCTGATCTCTGATATTTCGCCATCTGGGCAAATAATGCGGTTCAAGCTACAGATTTCTTTGGGAAAGAAAATGTTAATAGTAACACTCCCTTACAATGGGGAGTGAAATTATAGGTTGCTGGCAGCAAGATTTGGGGTGGCCTATTGTGGTCCCCTTCTGGCCCTGCCAGAATGTAATCATCATCGGGTCTTCCCTTCACTACGTCCCAAGAGGCAAAAAGGTGATATTTCCTTCCATGTCAAGACATGATTGTGCATCCATTAGGCTCTCTCTTCTTGCTAACTCAACTGGATCTGCTATGGAACCACTATCAGTCTGTGAAAGTGTTCTTTGGTTGTCAAAGTTCAGTGCACCTTTTTGTTTGATTAGGGCATTTCTGTGGGGGCTGGCCAATTTGTCTGTTGGAGAAGGCAATGGCTCATTTGCAGATTCTGAATCATCAGTTGTCCCCAAGGTTTTGGATTCACTATTATCCTCTTCCAGAGGGCTCTCAATCTCTGGTTCAATATCTGATTCTTCTCCATCTTCCTCCTCTAAAGTAAGCTGAAACTTGAATTTGTCTCCTCCACTTTTCTCTAAATCTGATGCATCTGGGGGAGGTGAGGGACTATGAGGAATCATGCTCTGATACCATTCTCGATTGTCTTCTAAAGTATCCAGAATCTCCTGAGCATCAGGATGAACTAAGTCAGCCCAGGTTTCCCAAAGTGGATGCGCAATATAATCAATGAATCCCACCTGGCAGAAGAAAAACAACAGAGAATGTTAAATGTGCTAGGGCAGACATTGTTACCCTATCTTGTTACCCTCCTCCAGTCCCAATTCTACACTTGCAAAAATCATAGGTACACAAGCAAATGTTTCCTAACTCAAAATGCTCTTGACTATGAATACCCATGTTTGCTTTTCTTTTGCTCCCTTCCATTCAATAAGTTTTTAAAATTATTATTGGCTATCCTTATACACAAAGCTTTTACATTCATTTGTGTTTAGCTTTGTATTTTATTTCATTTTAGCATAAAATTTCTGAGTATTGTAGTTTTTTTCAAAACCTCCACCCACAGTTAAACAGCTATCATTCCCATGCCCTCTGTAACCTGGAGTTTATTAGCAGTGTTACCTGAGACTTTTCTATGGAGGCATTGTGTTTATCACACATTGGGCTAATCTCCATGCCCTTCTCCCGTTCACGATCCCCTTGGTGGAAGAATTCTATCATGATTCGGTCTGTCCATTGGCGATAAAGCTCTAGTGGTTTTGTGGGGTTACTGAGATCTGCACAGTGTACAATGTTCTGCAAAACCTGTGGAGGAAAACATAACATTTACAGTAGAACTACATCACAAATCAACATATCAAAGAAGAAGTATCATTGGAAGTCTTAACTTCACAACTAATATGTTGCAGCACTTCAATTTTATTAATAATATTTAATAAGTATGTATCTCATTGATTTTTCTCTGCTTCTTTATTATTTTTCTTAGCACCAAATTCAGACAGATCTTAAGAATATATTTTAAATTGATTCATATACACTAATAATATTCTTTGAAGTTAATAACATTAAGTTCTGAATAAGACGACTTCAATAGAACTATCATTGACGACTTCAGTAGAACTATCATTGACATTTAATAACTAACCACAAAATCTTGAGCTCAGCTCTAAGTTTGTTGAACTATGAATTGAGCTTGGAATTCACACCTCTGTTTGAAATTTGCACTTTTCCATTTTATCCCTGCTCCTTAGTGCCTTACCTGAATGCGATCTGAGTAGTTATCCAAAAGCAGGACTCCCAAACTGGTTACTTTCTTGGTCTCTACCATTGTCTTCAGATCAGCCAGAAGATTCATATGTTTTGACATATCTGTTGCCAGGACCTATTTATACCCCCCACCACAAATACAAAAATTATTTCTCTGTTTTACTCTCCCTATTTTCAAGAATACTAGAAAGAAGAGACAGAGTCACTTGAGAAACAAAGTACAGTTTTGAAACAAATTTCAGAAAAAAATTACACATAATAACATAATATTGTTGTGTCTGCAGGCATTTATTCATGCATTCATTCATACCAACCTAAGTAAAGCAATGTTACACAGAGTAAAGAAAAGTAATAAGAAATAGGAGGAAGCCAAAGAATTTAAAACTTACATCATTATTATACCTCTCCGTACTTTTCTGTTCTTACGTGTCTTCTTCTTCCATATCCACATGCACTTCATTTTATTTTTTAAAACTTTTCATTGCTCTTTTTCATGTTCTCATCAATTGCATCCAACCATGGAAGGGACCTTGGAGGTCCCCAACCCCTGGTCCATGGACCGGTACCCGGCCACAGCATGCCAGCAACTGGTCTGCACAAACAAGCAAAGCCCCATCTGTGGGATGCAGGCAGCACACAAAACCACACACATTCCGGTCCGTGGAAAAACCTTTCTCCACGGAACTGGTTCCTGGTGCCCAAAAGACTGGGGGCCTCTGATCTAGTCCAACCCCCTGCTCAGGCAGGAAACCCTATACCATTTCAGACAAATGGCTGTCCAATCTCTTCTAAAGATGTCCAGTGTTGGAGCATTAACAGCTTCTGGAAGCAGGTTGTTCCACTGATTAATTGTTCTAACTGTCAGGAAATTTCTCCTTAGTTCTAGGTCGTTTCTCTCTTTGGTTAGTTACCTTACCTAATATATCTTGTTTTATAGCACACACTTTAACCCACACCCATTCCCACTGCATTTTTATACTTTTTCTGATAAACCCAACTTACAATCATTTCCTCCATATTCCCAGCCAAAGACAACTAACATTCTTTGATCCATGTTCAGATTTTCAGATTCATATTCCTTGTTACATCATACAGTCTTTCTAACATTCAATGCAAATCATTCACATTATTAGCCAACAACATAGCATCATCCTCATATAGAAATACTTGTATAATCATACTCACAAACAACATTGCTCTAACATTGCCCATTAACATTCTTTAAGCAGTTACCTATTACAGTTACATTACACAGTCAAGGGAACAGCACATATCCTAATCTAACTCTATTCAGTGTTGAGACCTTTGCTAAGCACTCTATATATTCTCATATTTTTCTCATATGCTTTACTTTCAACATACAGATAGGCCTTGGGTTAAGAACCACTTGTTCAGCGACTAGAAGTTGTTATGGTACTGAACAAATGGTACTTATAATCAGTCCCTGAAATTCCAACTGTTGCAGCACCCCTGTGGTCACGTGATTGTGATTTGGGTGCTTGGCAATTGGCTTGCACTTATGATGGTTGCAACATCCCATGGTCATGCAATCACCATTTGAGATTTTCCCTGCTGGCTTCCCACAAATAAAGTCCGTGGGGAAGCTAGGAAGAAATCCCAGGCCACTCTGGTAAGTTTCTTCTGCCATTTTTTCTCATGAGGAGCCTGCTACAGAGGTTTCAGGGATAGTAATAACAACAACAACAACAACAACAACAACAAGCACACTGAAGTCAAGAAAAAGATTAGAGGTGAATACATCAAGAGAGTGAAGAAGATCTTAAAGTCCAAACTCAATGGAGGAAATACCATAAAGGCAATCAACACCTGGGCAATTCCAGTCATTAGGTACACAGCTGGAATAGTGGACTGGACTCAAGCAGAACTAAAAGCAATGGATAGGCAGACCAGAAAAATAATGACAATGAATCATGCCCTTCATCCACGCAGTGACATTGACAGACTTTATCTACCAAGGCAAATAGGTGGGCGTGGAATGCTACAAGTACATCAGATGGTTGAAGAAGAAAAAATGGCTTTGGAAGAATATCTGAAGAACAATGATGAAGATGCACTGAAATTAGTATATCAGGAAGGCTTACTGACTAGTGGAGAGACCAAACTGGCCTACAAGAAAGACCAAATGAAGAACAGAATAGAGGCATGGGAAGACAAAGCACTACATGGCCAGTACATTAAAAAAATAGCTGGGAAAGCAGATAATAACAAGACCTGGCAATGGCTAAGAGCAGGAAAACTGAAGAAAGAGACCGAGGGACTAATTCTGGCTGCACAAGACCAAGCCTTAAGGACAAATGCATATAAAGTCAAAATTGAGAAGACAGCAACAGACAGTAAGTGTCTGTATGCAAAGAAGCTGAAGAAACAGTGGACCACCTGGTAAGCTGTTGCAAGAAGATTGCACAGACTGACTACAAGCAGTGGCATGACAAAGTAGCAACAATGGTGCATTGGAAGATCTGCAAAAAATACCATTTGCCTGTAAGCAAAAACCGGTGGGATTATAAAATAGAGAAAGTCATAGAAAATGATAAAATTAAACTGCTCTGGGACTTCAGAATTCAAACAGACAAGCACCTGCAACATAACACCCCAGACTTAACAATTGTCGATAAGAAAGACAAAAAAGTCTGGATAGTGGACGTGGCAGTGCCTGGAGACAGCAGAATAGACGAGAAAGAACTGGAGAAGATAACAAAATACAAAGACCTACAAATAGAAATAGAAAGACTGTGGCAAAAGCAAGCAAGGGTAGTACCAATAGTCATAGGCTCCTTGGGTGCAATCCCAAAACAACTGGAGCACCACTTGAACACCATTGGCATTGACAAATTCGCTATTAGTCAATTGCAAAAGGCGGCCTTATTAGGAACTGCTTCCATCCTGCGACGATATCTGTAATACCATCAAACATCCACATCTGCCTATCCCAGGTCCTGGGTAAGGACTCGATAGGTAGACAAAATGCCAAATCCAGTCTGAACATCTGGCTGACTGTGCGATGATCAATAATAATAATAATAATAATAATAATAATAATAATAATAATAATCCATGCAGTGACATTGATAGACTTTATCTACCAAGGCAAATAGGTGGGCGTGGAATGCTACAAGTACATCAGATGGTTGAAGAAGAAAAATGGCTTTGGAAGAATATCTGAAGAACAATGATGAAGATGCACTGAAATTAGTATATCAGGAAGGCTTACTAACTACTGGAGAGACCAAACTGGCCTACAAGAAAGACCAAATGAAGAACAGAATAGAGGCATGGGAAGACAAAGCACTACATGGCCAATACATGAAAAAAATAGCTGGGAAAGCAGATAATAATAAAACCTGGCAATGGCTAAGAGCAGGAAAATTGAAGAAAGAGACCGAGGGACTAATTCTGGCTGCACAAGACCAAGCCTTAAGGACAAATGCATACAAAGTCAAAATTGAGAAGACAGCAACAGACAGTAAGTGCCGCCTATGCAAAGAAGCTGAAGAAACAGTGGACCACTTGGTAAGCTGTTGCAAGAAGATTGCACAGACTGATTACAAGCAGCGGCATGACAAAGTAGCAACAATGGTGCATTGGAAGATCTGCAAAAAATATCATTTGCCTGTAAGCAAAAACTGGTGGGATCATAAAATAGAGAAAGTCATAGAAAATGATAAAATTAAACTGCTCTGGGACTTCAGAATTCAAACAGACAAGCACCTGCAACATAACACCCCAGACTTAACAATTGTCGATAAGAAAGACAAAAAAGTCTGGATAGTGGACGTGGCAGTGCCTGGAGATAGCAGAATAGAAGAGAAAGAACTGGAGAAGATAACAAAATACAAAGACCTACAAATAGAAATAGAAAGACTGTGGCAAAAGCAAGCAAGGGTAGTACCAATAGTCATAGGCTCCTTGGGTGCAATCCCAAAACAACTGGAGCACCACTTGAACACCATTGGCATTGACAAATTCGCTATTAGTCAATTGCAAAAGGCGGCCTTATTAGGAACTGCTTCCATCCTGCGACGATATCTGTAATACCATCAAACATCCACATCTGCCTATCCCAGGTCCTGGGTAAGGACTCGATAGGTAGACAAAATGCCAAATCCAGTCTGAACATCTGGCTGACTGTGCGATGATCCATAATAATAAAGTTGGAAGGGACCTTGGAGGTCATCTAGTCCAACCCCCTGCTCAGGAAGGAAACTCTATACCATTTCGGACAAATGGCTGTCCAGTCTCTTCTTAAAAACTTCCAGTGTTGGAGCATTCACCACTTGTGGAGCAGGTTGTTCCACTGGTTAATTGTTCTAACTGTCAGAAGTTTTTCCTTAGTTCTAGGTTGCTTCTCCAGGACAGGAGATGGAGAATCCACCAATGGGTTTTCTCTGTCTGCCTGCTCTTGAGACCAAGTTAGCCAAACTTGACACGCCCCCTTATGCTAGGAGACCCAGTCTTACTTGGTCTCAAGCTCTTGAAGATGTGTCAGGTTTGGCTCTCAGAAATCAGAGATCCAAAAATTATATTTAGCAGGTTAGAGATCCATTGGTGAATTCTGTTTACCTCATTCACTTGCCTCAGTCAGATTCCTCACCAGGTCAGTAGATCCTGCCTTGTATTTTCACAACCGGTTTCCCAGGAGCACCCCCCCTCTCCACCCAGAGGTCTGTTCAACCAGGCTCTCTTCCTTGCGTTACTGCGTAAGGCCACCACGATGGCCAATATAGGGTCCGATCAGTTCCCTCAGCCATATCTGATTCGAGCCTGAATCCGGTGTTCTTCGAAACTGTGGCAGCCCAGCACCATGTCCCCTCCCCTTCCATCTTCCTTAAGGGAGTTAAGAAGCAATGGGTGTCCCCATCTTCTTTCTCCTCCATGGGAGGCACAGACAAAAAGTTATTTAATACTTCTCCAGACCTGACTGATGCTCTGGAGATGCCAAAAATGGACGAGGCCTGGACCTCTCTGGTGTCTTCGACTGCGATCTCAGGGGACATGGCCGAGGCACTTAAGGCAGAGGACAGAAAATGGGACTTGACCTTCCGCAAGACCCATCAGGCTGCCACGTGGGCAATTAAAACGGCCATGTGCGCGCCC